CTAAGTAGCGCACTCCTCTCATCCCCTGGTTGCGCGCGAGCGCGCTACTAGAATTACTATTAGAGGCGGGGAAGCCTTTCCGCTTACCACCCCGCGCGGAGTTTGAAGACTGCCTTGTCCAACGACCAGTTTAACGAGTTCGCATAGCCGCCTCGCCCATCCCTCCCTACCGAGTTCCCCCCGTCATCGCCGGCGCCTCGTCCATCCATTCCACGTAACCGGGGTTCCTTCCGCTTACTGGCCGTGATGACTAGAATCACCACATGTTGTCTCGTTCTCCGCAACCCAATCGCGGCCGCGCAATGCGCATTTCCGAGCTCCGGCGTTGGGATGATCCCCCTTCCTTCCTGCCGCGGCGCGTCCCTCAGAATCTCCCCCTCTCTTCTCTGCGACGGAACACGTTACATGGTGCGCGAGTCCGCAAGATTTTTATTTTCCTCTTTGAATACCAAAAAATCAAGCTGAGCGATTGACCACTCAATCTCAGCACATAAATCCACGCCCGCTTCCAAGGCAGCAGTCACATTCTCACACTCCGCTGCTCGCCCATTGCGCGCCTCTCCGTCTCCTCTCCTCCCTTCCGAGTCGCCGCGCCACCTTCGACGTCCCACCCAATTTCGCCTCATTGCGACTACGAGCGATCGACAGTCGCCATCTGCTCGTCACTGTCCAGTCGACCCAAAAGCGACTGACAACGCACTGCTTGAAGCCTTCTTGGCATCGGCGCGAGCGATCTGCTGTCGCAATCTCCTCGGTTCCTCCGGCTCTCGTCTCCTTTCGTGATCATGGACCGGCGCTTCGGGCGGCTGTACGGGCTTGGCGCCGCCGCACTCGTCGCGGGCCTCGTTGCCATCAGCTTCCTCGCGACCCACGCCAGCGCCGCTGAGGTGAGTCGGCTGACTGCCGCACACCACTGGCAGTGCCCATGGCACCCCACCCGCTTGCACCCCACCCGCTTGCATCCCACCCGCTTGCACCCCACCCGCTTGCACCCCACCCGCTTGCATCCCACCCGCTTGCACCCCACCCGCTTGCATCCACACCCGCTTGCATCCCACCCGCTTGCACCCCACCCGCTTGCACCCACCCGCTGCATCCCACCCGCTTGCATCCCCACCCGCTTGCACCCCACCCGCTTGCACCCCACCCGCTTGCACCCCCCACCCGCTTGCACCCACCCGCTTGCATCCCACCCGCTTGCATCCCACCCGCTTGCATCCCACCCGCTTGCATCCCACCCGCTTGCATCCAACCCGCGTGCATCCCACCCGCTTGCATCCCACCCGCTTGCATCCCACCCGCTTGCATCCCACCCGCTTGCACCCCACCCGCTTGCATCCCACCCTCTTGCATCCCACGCTCTTGCTTCGCACGCTCTTGCTTCCTTGAAACAACCCTCGATCTCCTGTGCAGACGTGTGTGGTAGCAAGGACTGTGGGACCGATGCTCAGTGCGTTGTCAGTGCCGATGGCACTGCTGGTGTGTGCGAGTGCTTGGATGGTTCTAACTTTAATGAACTGGACAACACATGCGATCGTGGTGGGAGTGTGGGTGAGTGCTGGAGTGTGGGTGAGTGCTGGGAGTGTGGGCGAGTGATGGAGTGTGCTTCCTCGCGACCCACGCCAGCGCTGTTGATGGTGAGTAGGCTGACTGTGTGGGTGAGTGTGCGTGTGTGGGTGAGTGTGCGTGTGTGGGTGAGTGTGCGTGTGTGGGTGAGTGTGCGTGTGTGGGTGAGTGTGCGTGTGTGGGTGGGTGTGCGTGTGTGGGTGGGTGTGCGTGTGTGGGTGGGTGTGCGTGTGTGGGTGAGTGTATGTGTGTGGTTGAGTATGCGTGCGTGGTTGAGTGTGTGTGTGGGTGAGATCAGCAAGAGTTCAACTCGTCTAAGCCCTTCCTCTAATTACACCCCTTTCCCTACTTACACCTCGCAACCAGGCATAATCGCCTCTGCAGACCCGTGTGCGGCTCTGGACTGTGGCTCCACGGCTTCTGCTCTCTGAACGCTGCTGGCGATCCCGTGTGCGTGTGCTCCACCGCTGGTTTCATCTTCAGCGACGCTTACAGGACGTGCTTTGGTGAGTGCCGCTTTGGTGAGTTGTAGACGATTCATTTCTTTAAAACAACGCATTTCAGGAGTCAGCACTTGGTCAGCGTTTCACATCCTCCCGCACTTGAGATGCAACGCTGAGATGCAACTCGTGGAGGCATGTCACCAAAACGTTGACCAGCTGCTTTCGTCACCTTACCCCTCCCGCACCTCCCCCCCTACCTGCCCCCTTCCTCTCCTTTCCCCTTCACGCCCCAACTCGACGCCTGCAAACCCCCATTCATGTCGTCAACTGTCTCACTACTTGGCTGCTTTCATCTCCTCACTCCTCCCGCACATTCTCCCCTGCCTGCCCCTCTCCTTTCCTGTCCCCTGTCTCTTTCCTGTCCTCCGCTGAGGCCCCTACTCCGCACGACGTTGGAGCTGCAAGGCAACTCCGGGCGCAAGCGCGGCAAGGCCAAGAAGCAGAGCCTCACCTTCTCCACGGCACCTCCTTTCATCTTCTTTCCCCTGCCCCGCCCTCCGCTCAGGCCCCCTACTCCGCACGACACTGGAGCTGCAGGCCCCCAACGCTGGGCGCAAGCGCAAGGCCAGGAAGCAGAGGCTCACCTTCTCCAACGATGCGCCGGCAGATGCGATCGGTGGCACCACCGCGTGCACGGACCTGACGGCCAGCATCGGCAGCCACACCAAGGCCACCGTGGTGTGGAGAGTCGCGAAGCTCGCTGGAGCTGAAAAACGGCATGTGCCAGAGCCTCACGTTCTACTCTGGGCCGGGCTGCTCGGGCCAGCGGGCCTGAGGATCGCACGCCCTGCGTGGACGGGCCGTGGCTACCCTGTCACGAAAGGGTGTGTGAGCGTGGTGCATGGCACATGTGTGATGCACGGCACATGTGTGATGCACGGCACATGTGTGATGCACGGCACATGTGTGATGCACGGCACATGTGTGATGCACGACACATGTGTGATGCACGGCACATGTGTGATGCACGGCACATGTGTGATGCACGGCACATGTGTGATGCATGCCACGTGATGTACGGTCACCAGAGTTTGCTTGGCCGTTGTCGCGTGAATGGAGTGACTGTCATAACTGGAGTGATTCGTCCTCATCTGTGCTCTTCCCTATCCTTCCCTATCCTTACCTCTCCCTCTCTCAGGATTCTCAAGAAAGCATCCCAACCGCCGCAATCAGTTGGCTGCCGGATCGGTAAGTGTGGGTGCACCACACGTAAGGGAGAGGGATCAATGCATGCTCTGAAGTGTGGGTGCAGACGTACGGGTGATTTGTGCCGTGCTCTCTTCCAACCGGTGCCGCCAGACAACGCTCTCCTCCACCCACATGCACCCATGAACTGCCCACATATAAACAGCCCACATGTCAGTTGCACATCTTGCTCTATCAACTTCTGTTGCCTCTCACTTCTTATGCTGTGGCCTGCCCTCCATTTGACCCTTCCCTGTGCAACTATAGCCTGATCGTATCCTCTCTAAAGAGGCTGGTGAACAAGTGAAGAACGGGCGGCCCTAGTTGGATGGGGGGGGGCAAGGAGGCGCAAGCTGGCAGCATCAGAGCGACGTCATCTCGGCGGGGGCTGATGGAGCAGAGGTGCGAGCAACTGCATGCGGTTGCTCGGAGGCTTGGAACCAACTTGGCTGACGGTTGGCTGGATTATTTGGTGCGTGTATCAGGAATATACGTGCATGCTTGTTGGTCTGTCTGTTGTACCATGGAGCCTAGTTTTTGTTTCTTCAGAAAGATTGCTAGCTTTCGACGCTTTGTGTGCTACCTTGCATTTCTAGGTTTCTTTGTTTAACATTTGTACGGTACTTGGCTATTGCAAACCTGTTTTGTTGTGAAATGCAGTTGGGCTTCCACTGTAAGCTCATACATAAGTCACCCCCACATCATGGAACCGAGGGTCTTCTACAGGGGCTTATGCACATCATGGAGAGTACTGTATTCTCTTTACTTTGCTCAGTGTTAGGACCACCAAGTCTACTATGGAGGTTGTCTCCCGTAACGACGCTCCAGTCGCGCCTCAAGTTGATCGTGAACCTCCCATGAACTCGGAAGGAGAGCAACCCAAGGAGACACAAGACCCAATTACGACGGTGAATGTGGTCGCGGGAAGGCCGGGATTGTCAGCAGCAAACAAGCTTCAGGCAGCATAGATTTCTTGTGCTGCTGATGATTTCTTCGTGGACAACGATTCGGACAAGGAGCTGGATATTGACATTGATCTCCTTCATGGAGGAACGCGATGCACATCACATAAAGTACCACTCGGTGGACTATCAGAAGGCAAATGGGACAATGGTGAAGCTGTAATGGCAGCACACCGACGACCCATCCTACGCCAGGGAAAGGTCTACTAGTCTGAAAGTGGTTGAACTCGTTTATAAGCAAGTTCCTGCTGGTGCTGTACAAACTAAAGCTGAGGAAGCAGTCAGCGTTCAAAGATGGCCTCTGCTTCCACTGCGTTCCGCAGCCGCTCACTGGTGCTGACATTGACGTGGTCAAGGGTCTGGTTGTCCGGTGAGATTGGCAGGCAACACTTCGTGCACTTGGTCTCTGCAGAGGACATCATTATGACAAGCATTTGATATGTTCATAACAGAGTGGCAGAATAATATTGGAACGTGGAACCTCACCCTGGAAATGTTCACTGGATTAACGTTAATAATGCTGCACGGTTCTCACCTGATGACTCCCTTTTCCAACCTGATCCACTCACTGATGATTGGTTTTGCTCTTGCAGCGGCTTCTTTGCACACCTCCGGCCTAGTGTCACCCATCCACGGCGACTGTCCTCATCTCAACCGGCGGCAACCGCAAGGAATGACTCTGCACACAGGCTGGATGCGGAAAGATGAAGGGGAAAACGTTCATGGCTGCTGCAGACCACATCACCGCAGCCTCTCACCTACTGAACCTGGAGAAGCTGGGATCATCCACCAAAAAGTCTTTCGAAATCTTCTCTCATTCACAGGCCTTAACGTGAACTACCTAAGTAACTGGAACAAGCAAGCAAAAGTAACTGACTGGACACGGAAAGCAGCAGACGTTATCATTCTAACAGACACTAGATTAGTAGAAGAACACTCTTACTCGACTCTATCATGTTGCAACACCAATTACCAAAGCTGGAGGTGTTGTTGTGTCAAAATGCCGTTCATATTGTTTAGGTTGTAGTGGGGTACACTCTACTGAGTACAACCCATTAGGGTTAGGACTACTTGTACTCATCATCCATTATAGTCTATGATTCCTGCCACACGATTCTGACATGGTATCAGAGCACGTAGGTCCCTAGGACCGATTTTTTTAGGCCCCACAGTTCGTTCTACCCTGCCCGTTTTTTAGGGCGACCCGGCCGCCCGCTAGAGCCGCCCTGCCCCACGCGTTCGCACCTGCCCTGTCTCGCGCCCTGCAGCACGCACGCTCCTCTGCTGCCCGCGTCGCCTGCTGCCGAGCGCGCCTCTGCTGCCAGCGCCCCCTGCTGCCCTGCGCCCCGCGTGTGCTCTGCTGCCAGCGCGCTCTGTTGCCCTGCGCCCCGTGTGCGCCCTGCTGCCCGCGCGCCCTGCAGCCCGCGCACCCTGCAGCCCGCGCGCCTTGCAGCCCGCGCGCCTGCTGCCTGCGTCGCCTGCTGCCCGCGAGCGCCTCTGCTGCCCGCGTCGCATGCTGCTTGCGTGCGCCCTGCTGCCCGCACGCGCCTCGGCTGCCAGCGCGCTCTGCTGCCCTGCGCCCCGCGTGCGCCCTGCTGCCCGCGCGCCCTGCAGCCCACGTGCGCCCTGCAGCCCGTGCGCCCTGCAGCCCGTGTGCCCTGCTGTCAGCGCGCCCTGCTGCCAGCGCGCCCTGCTGCCAGCGCGCCCTGCTGCCCACGCGCCCTGCGCGCCTTGTTGCCAGCGCTCCCTGCTGCCTGCGCGCCCTGTTGCCAGCGCACCTTTCTGCCCCGTACACCGCACGCCTTGCTGCCCGCGTGCTGCCCTAGCCGCACGTGCACAGCCCTAGCTACAACAGCTGCCACTACCACTGTCGCTGCATCTACCTCTGCTGACGCTACAGGCTCCCGCTACCGCTACGGCTGCCACTGCAGCCCTTGCGCCGCTGCTGCTGACTGCCACTGCCCGTCATGGCCACGCCGCCGGTCGTAGCGGTTGACGCCGACGGACGCCCGTACAGGTTAGGGTAGTGGCTTACGTGCCTGCGCTTGCATCTCCGGCGTTTCATTAGAGATAGCGTCTCCCTACTCGAGCACACGTCGGGGTCACTTCCGCCCCCCACGACTCCTACTGAGCCTGCTGCTGACGCTGGCGAGGACGTGCAGAGGCGGTACCGGGCGGACAGCCTTGCCTACAGACAGTGGACAGAGCGCGACGCTGTCGCACAGCGTGCCGTCCGAACTCTCCTGCCGGTCGACCAGAGGGACCACTTTCGACATGTGACGTCAGCCTAGACTTTGTTCGACGCTGTTGTTAGACACTACTTCTCCCTCTCTCCTGCCACCAGGCCACTACAACAGCGGCGTCCGTTGTTAAGGGAGGTGCAGCCGCTGGTCGAGGAGGCGAGTGTAGGTACCTGTACGTCTGCTCCCGCAGGTGGTGTCACTAGTGGAGGCGGTGGTTATGGGGGTGGTCAGCAGGGGCAGTAGCGTCAGCCGGAGACTCTTTCGCCGCAGCAGCTTTGGGAGTGGGTTTCTCAGCGACGCGTCCTTGGTAGTGTAGAGGCTACCAGTCTAGGTGCCTGTGAGCCTGCTCCTGCGGAAGCTTTGCAAACCCTAAATCCTGCGTGGCATGCACTCTCGTCTCCTTGTTTCTGGCCTCCCCAGGTCCCTGCCCCCGCTCCTGCGCTCGCTTGCACAGCCGTGCCTTCCCTGCGTCGAGGGGCGGCAGCGCGCCGCTCCTCACTCCTCCTCGTTTCCTCCGACAACTGCTCCTCTGCAGACTCTCCACATGGAGGTGTGGGCCCCAACCCGCGTCCGTGGACAGGACCATGAGCGCTACTTTCTGCTGGTTGTTGACGACTACAAGCGCTACACCACGGTCTTCCCCTTGAAAAGGCGGATGCACGCGGTGTTTTGATCCCCTCGATCCGCACTGTTCGTCGCCAGCTGAGCGCACGGTTTCAGCAGGACCTTCAGGTCCTGCGACTGCACTCTGACAGAGGCGGCGAGTTTTCCTCCCGCCTCCTTGAGAACTTTTGTTGTGAGGAGGGCATCGCCTAGTCGTTCACGCTTCCGGCCTCTCCACAGCAGAATGGGATTGCTGAGCGTCGCATTGGCTTGATCATGGAGGTTGCTCGCACCTCCATGATCCATGCGGCTGCTCCCCATTATATGTGGCCGTTTGCGGTCCGATACGCCGCGCATCAGCTCAACCTCTGGCCCCGTGTCTCTGTGCCAGAGACCTCGCCTACACTGCGTTGGACGGGGGAGGTTGGCTATGCGTCGCCGTTTCAGGTCTGGGGCTCACTTGTCCTTGTCCGCGATCTTACCGCGGACAAGCTCTCCCCTCGCACTATTGGCTGTGCCTTACTTGGCTTCCCCACCGACGCCCCGCCCTAGCATATTTACCACCCTGCCTCGCGCCGCGTCCTGTCCTCCCAGGACGTCACCTTTGACTGGTCGGTCTGCTTCTATCATCTCCACTCCCACGTGTCTTCTCCAGTCCCC